TAGATTTACATGATACGACTTCGTTGTTGGTGTATGCATGTTTTGATATGATTGCTAAATAAAAAGCTAATTACAGCTGTAAAAAGTATCATTTAGGATACTGTCAATCCAGTCTTGTCTAATTGTACTAAAGCATATAAAAAAAATTTTTTTCTTAGTTGTCAAAAGAGAGTCTGTTAGTCAAAAAAAGGAAGCCTTAGTCGTTTTTACAAAACTTTAACTTTAAATTTTGAACTTCAGAATAACAATTGAAAAAGGAGAACTACAAGTTCAGTGAAATTATATCCTTCAAACTTTTATTTTTCGATCTCTTTTTGTTGATTTAATTCGTTTTAAAGCCTGTAAAAGTCTCTCGAGCAAGCCTTGGAATAATTCACGTTGTCGAATCCGTGTACAGCTAACACTCACACATCGATCAGACTCTGTTTTCCGTTTCAAACATTTTCAGAACAGTGATTGTTTTACTCAGCGAAATGACATCTTTTTAGAAGCTTCTGAGAGCTGTACGACTGCAGTTTAGCACGAAAATTTATGAGTCCCACTAATAAGTAGAAATGGTTGATATACCGTGTTGCTTGAATTTTTTATACAATGATTCATACAAACCGGTGTTGGTCATTTTCTTTAACACACTAGCTAGACCTAGAGCAGTTAATTGACTGCCTTCTGCAGTCGTTTTTGCTTGTATTTTTTTCTTGGTCATTCATATTTAACTTGATTCTGGCGTTTTGTATCGTTTTTTTGCAACCTTTTATCTTTTCATGTTTTAGTTCAATAAAGGTCTCATTGCTCGGTCTTGAAATTTAGCAGCAGAAAGCAGAGTAAAAATGAAAGAAATCTGACATTTTAAGATCTCAGAAAAACGAGAGAAAAGAGCCCTAGCAACAGCAAAGAAAAATCATGTTCTCAAAACGGAAGACCTAAACATCATCCTCAGTTTTGACGTACCGGTAAAAAGGTCCTAAGAAATGAATGAATTGTTCGAGCACGAAGGTTTGCTTAACACTCTGCTATTCGTTTCAGTCGATTGAGTATGAAGCAAAAGTCAAAAAAACTCTCTTCATTAAGTTGCAGGAACCGACCGAAGTGTTGTCGTTTCAAGAGAGTAGTTTGCTCTGGTTCGCCTGAATGTCAATGAATCCGTTAAAAATCTCACTGTTCGAAAGGCAGAGCACAATGAGGCTAAGGAGCGAGTACTACAAAATTAGTCTACTGCATTTACCCCGTTGTAAACTGTTCTTCTGCCTGCGTTCCACTCGCATCAGAAACTGAGACTCAACTTGTGCGCCAAACATTACTTCTGAATACTTTTGTCAACAATTAAACTGTTGTAATTTTCGGACGGAAGACGGCGCCTACTATTGTTAAATTAATAGATTTCAGAAAGAGGTTTGCTTTAAACAATACAACCTAGTATTTTAAACTTATCATCCTACACATCTTCTAGACGAGGGAAGAGGTCATTTTAAGCTTTCAACTTCTTTACGATAAAGCAACAGCTGGAAAAACAACATTTTCAGAGCCCTTCTGATAAAGCATTATCAAGTTGCGAAAATTTCAACAAGTCCTGCCAGGTATAAGAGCGGCTTCCTAAAACTACTGATTACCTTAAACTGGGCGCGTTGCGTGAAAAGATAACTTTTCAGCATGCTTTACCAAGCGCGAGGCTCCTTTCAATGCAGGTAGAAAAAACACTGTCAAAAAATATAGGTATTAGATAGCAGGAGAAATCTTTGCGACTGAGCAAACTTTAAAAGTTTTTTGACACTACAGGAGTTGATAAGAAATAGTCGTACTGGCATCATACCAACAAACACTTCTGTAGTTGTAACTTACCGAAGCGCTCTTTTGATTTTTACAATTCCAAGCAGTTTTTATGATCACTTAAAAGACTGCTGAACTAAGCTAGAACAATCTAGGTAAATGAAAAAGTTTATGAATTCCGTAACGATGCCAGTCAATAAGTTCTGTACTGAAAGCTTTCAAACCCTTATTTACAGATATAGTTTTCGTTTCATCTGTCGGTTCTAAGAAAAAAGTTCAAAGTGAATTAAACGTAGCCACTGCACACCTTCAGCATAAGATTTAAGTGGTAAAAACAATAGTTTGTGAAGTTTCATACATATAGATATTGCTGCTTAGGATTCCCATAAAAGAAAGTTTTTTTTTTATTGCTTCTTAAGAGCTTTAAAGTTCTATTCCTCTTCATGGATTCTGTCCATGCGTTAGCCCTCAGTGCGGTTGAAAGCATCTGATTTGCCGTTTTAAACGGAACTACACTTTAAAGTCTTAACCTTCTTCTAGAACTTACTCTCCTCATCTCATCATGAAGCTCTGACAAACGCATTATTTCTTTCACCTGCTTATCATTAACCTATTTGCCCACTGTTTTCCACCACTCTCTCCTTTTTTCTTTTTTCACTTCCCTTAACACCTCATCCATTTTATCTTTTTTCTTCCGCCATCTTTAAATCACTAGGTTAGCTTTTTTTCTCCTATGCTACCACTTATTTTCAGTCAACTTGGCATTCAAAACTTACAGCTGCTCGTCATATCAAAAAACTCTTTTTTTTAGTGCTAAACGCTTTGTATAAAATATCATTACAAACTCATAAAGACATTGCTTTGGGCACTGCCGCAAAATTAACTTTTTTTCAAGCCCTAATCACTCATATCTCCATCTGCGCAAATTGTTTACTAACGGTTGCTGCTGAGAACAGAGAATGTGTATGAGTTCACAGGAATCTGCACTTATCTAATTTTTCCATGATTGACAAAATGACGTACTTTAGATGCAACTTTTGCTGCGACTCAAGTCCGTCATTCTTTCGCTTGTGGAACAACTATATAAAAATATTTCGTACTTTGGGGAAGGCAAATACTTCTCTCACAGTTAATTTCTCCTGTTGTCAAGAATGGCTATCTGTTTACAGGCATCTGAAAGGGACTTGAAATACTGCTTGGAAAAGAGTTTGCGATTCCCCGCTGCGCGATCACATCTGTCCCTCTTTAGCTCAAAGACCGAACAACCTGCTGGCACAACTTTTCCTGTGTTAGAAAATTCGTGGGTTCAGCAGAATTTACAAGCTAAGATGCAAAAAAATTGAGCTTCTCTTGATTTTTTTATTTATTCAAAAAACCGACACACTTGATCCGGTAATTACTTCTTTAATGTCTGCGCAGAACTGATGCGAAGTTATAGCACTAGGTGACGTAAAAATCAACCCAGAGGTAGTATGATGTATGAACTAAGTTAAGATGTATAATATGAGATTTTGGAGGTTTACGTAAGCGAATTTCTATTGTGTTGAATAACTGTAAGAAGCTTAATATACCAGCGGAAAAGTTACAGATTAAACGGTGACTCTTCCACAAGTGATACTGGTATAGGGAAAACAAAAATGATGGTAAACTTTAAAATCGGATTTTCAAAAAATGTCTCCTCGACTGCTGGCATTCATTAGACTGAACTAATATCTTCGACAGCCAAGACTAAAATTAACAGGAATACCTGGACCCTTATTTTAATCATGCGAATAATGTCAACCACAACTGTTATGACGCTAATCAAACTTTTAAATTGATATTTAAGATGATGTTTCAGAAACTAACTACTTTTATAGTGTTTTTTCTCCAATTATTGATCTCTATGGTTTGGCCATTTTAAATCTGAGGTTCTCCTGGTCCTAAAGTACCTATTGGACTTTATGCAACTGGGGGGCTTGCAAGTAATACCCTTATTCCTGTAACATACAGCGTCCTGGAAATATCAATTTAAAAACGTTTTTGTAATCTACTTTCAAAAAAAAAAAGAAAAAAAGAAAGACAGAAAGAAAAGTCGTAAACAGTTATCGACATCCTAAATTCGTTATTCTTTTCGGCAAAAATGCAGTGAAAATCAGTTCAGCAGTGGCATCAGCGTCTGCAGGACTGTTAAACTTCCGCGAAGACTGAAAAATTTAGTATGATAAGTGTGAATGGAGTTGCGTTGTTAACGTTGCCGCTAAAATGTGACGGTTTAAAAGCGGCGCCAACATAAATTTGAATTTAAAATTTAAGATTCTGCAAATGGTTTA